TTAAAGGGGACACTGTAGGAGGGACATCGCGGGAGCACAGGACAAGGTAAGAGAAGAACAGATCCCGGAGCAGTGCCGCATGGTAAGCCTGAGTGTAGCTTGGGGTTACCGCTTGTGGTACTAAAACGTTACCCCGAGCTACATTCGGGAATACCGTCAGGGAGGTTAATCGGTTGGAAAAATGGTCGTTCAGCAAGAATGAGATTCCCAGAGGACTTGAGAGATTTTTGTGAAAGTCTTGAGTTGCAGAAAATAGTTATTCCTGGGTGGGGGGAGAGGGAGATGGGGGGGTATAGAAAAAGAGAGGTGGCAGGCAGCTCCTAGGGGGAATAAATAGTAGAAATAATGATGTGGGGGGGGGGGAGAGAAGGAGAGATGTGTGTAGGTTTCATTTTTTTTCCCTATCTCTCCTTGATTCTCTCTCTCTTTATCCCCACTTTTGTACCATTTTGCCCCACGTGTGAATCCGTGGGGAGGGGGGAATAGGGGAAAGTGAATTTTCGTTTTTCCCTCCTCCTCTACCTTGGTTATTAGAGAAAGGCGGGACAAGGGAGATGGGACAAACAATCTGGAAGACGTACATGGTCAGAGCTCCACCTTAAAGTTGAATCAAAGGTGGGAATAGGACCACAAATGATTCATAGGCATATTATAGGACTAAAGGGGTATTGCGAGAGGGGAGGGTATTGGGGGATTAGGGAGGGGGGGTGGAGGGTATGGGGAGTAGGTAGGTAGATTAAGACTCTGCGATATAGTAGGAGATATATTAGTTTGGAGAAGTCCTAGAGAACGAAGGGGAAGATATGGACAAGAGAGGAGATGAAGGAGAGGCTAGGAGAATAAGGGAAGAATGGAAGAGATTCCACTTTGTGACTTATAATGTTAATGGATTAAATAGCCCTGGGAAGAGATTTAGAATATTTAAAGAGATTCAGCATAGATTGTCTTCAGTGGTTTTCTTACAGGAGACACATTTGGGACAAGAAACAAATGTGAAATTAAATTCCAGATATTATCCATTGTGGTTCAATGCAGATTCCCCAATTAGAAGAGCTAAGGGAGTGGCAACAGGTTTTGCAAAAAATATAAGGTTTTAAGTTGGAAGACAGATTGGTAGGTCCTGAAGGGAGATTTCTGTTTATGAAATGAAAACTACAAGAAATAGATTGTACATTAGCAAATATTTATCGCCTGAATAAGAAACCAGAGATATTCCTTAAAAATACTCTGAAAAAATTCATGGATTTCAAAAAGTAGTCTAATTGTGGCAGGAGATTTTAATCTCTGCATGGACCCTCAGATAGACATGACGTCCCCTGTACAGAGAGAGGAAAGTGGGTCTTTGAGGTCCTCGAAAAAAAATGATATTCCAATGCCAACTTGTAGATATATGGAGAATTAAGCATATGAAGGACAGAGACTACATGTTTTATTCCCAAGCACATGAGATGTATTCAGGATTGGACTATATATTGCTGGAACATCGACTTATTGAGTCTTTGGTCAAAGTAAAAATAGAAGTGATGTCAATATCGGACCATGCTCCTGTCAGAATGCAATTATTATGAGGAAAGGAGCCGAATGGGGGAAAAGTATGGAGGTTAAATGAGACACTTCTCCAGAATCCAGAGATGGATCAAAAAAATTAAAAAAGAAATAGAGCAATTTTTTTAAGAAAATGATTCGGGGGATGTGTCTGTAGCAACAGTGTGGGAGGCTCATAAGGCCTATATTAGAGGAATCCTGATAGCGATTGGAGCAAAGAAGAAGAGGGAAAGAAGAGAAAAAATTAATGCTCTTCTTGGGGAACACTGTGAGCTAGAGCAGACACAGAAATATAGAGTAACAAAAGAGACTATGTAGAGGGTAATAAAAGAGAAGAATTAAATAATTTTCTGGAAGGAGATAAGAGTATTTAATAAAATAAGTGAAAGATATAGATGGGGAGACAGGCCAGGAAAGTATTTGAGGGCTCAGAGAAAAAAAAATCCAGGAATTATGTAGAGAAAATAAGAGATCACAAAGGAGAATGTGTATTCCACTAAAGATATAACTAAAGTGTTTAAAGAATACTATAATAATCTATATAAGTTTACTCCCCATAGTTCTATAAATAAAGATGGAGTAGGAAAAATAGAAAAAAGATGGACATACTTAAAAAAGGTGGGATTACCAAAAATAAGAGAGGAACAATTAAAATCCCTTGAATTAGCAATAATGCAGGAAGAAATACAGCTAGCACTAAAAAGTACTACAGCTGGGAAAAGTCCAGGTCCAGATGGATATACTGTGAGGTATTATAAAAAATTATAAAGAACTATTAGTACCTAAATTGAGGATATATATGAATGCGTTGGGGGGAGAGATGGAAATTAGGAGGGAATCCCTACAAGCACATGTAATTCTCATACATAAAGAAGGTAAGAATGTTGCTCACTGCTCAAGTTATAGACCGATTTCCTTATTAATCACAGATACTAAATTATATGCAAAAGTTCTGGCAAACAGGTTGGAAGACCTAATGTCGGAATGGATACACATAGATCAAGTAGGCTTTGTCCCAGGGAGAGAGGGTAGAGACAATGGCCTGAGATCTTTGTTTCTCATACAAAAAAGTAGGAAAGAGAAAATCCCTGCGGTGGTACTCTTGATTGACGCTGATAAGGCATTCGATAGAGTAGATTGGGGATATATGATGGATACATTGGAAGTACTATGGGGATAGGACATAGAATGAAAGAATGGATAAGGAAATTATACAGTCAGGTCCATAAATATTGGGACATTGACACAATTCTAACATTTTTGGCTCTATACACCACCACAATGGATTTGAAAATGAAACGAACAAGATGTGCTTTAACTGCAGACTGTCAACTTTAATTTGAGGGTATTTACATCCAAATCAGGTGAACGGTGTAGGAATTACAACAGTTTGCATATGTGCCTCCCACTTGTTAAGGAAACCAAAAGTAATGGGACAATTGGCTTCTCAGCTGTTCCATGGCCAGGTGTGTGTTATTCCCTCATTATCCCAATTACAATGAGCAGATAAAAGGTCCAGAGTTCATTTCAAGTGTGCTATTTTGCATTTGGAATCTGTTGCTGTCAACTCTCAAGATGAGATCCAAAGAGCTGTCACTATCAGTGAAGCAAGCCATCATTAGGCTGAAAAAACAAAACAAACCCATCAGAGAGATAGCAAAAACATAAGGCGTGGCCAAAACAACTGTTTGGAACATTCTTAAAAAGAAGGAACGCACCGGTGAGCTCAGCAACACCAAAAGACCCGGAAGACCACAGAAAACAACTGTGGTGGATGACCGAAGAATTCTTTCCCAGGTAAAGAAAACACCCTTCACAACAGTTAGCCAGATCAAGAACACTCTCCAGGAGGTAGGTGTATGTGTGTCAAAGTCACCAATCAAGAGAAGACTTCACCAGAGTGAATACAGAGAGTTCCCCACAAGATGTAAACCATTGGTGAGCCTCAAAAACAGGAAGGCCAGATTAGAGTTTGCCAAACGACATGTAAAAAAGCCTTCACAGTTCTGGAACAACATCCTATGGACAGATGAGACCGACATCAACTTGTACCAGAGTGATGGGAAGAGAAGAGTATGGAGAAGGAAAGGAACTGCTCATGATCCTAAGCATACCACCTCATCAGTGAAGCATGGTGGTGGTAGTGTCATGGCGTGGGCATGTATGGCTGCCAATGGAACTGCTTCTCTTGTATTTATTGATGATGTGACTGCTGACAAAAGCAGCAGAATGAATTCTGAAGTGTTTCGGGAATATTATCTGCTCATATTCAGCCAAATGCTTCACAACTCATTGGACGCCGCTTCACAGTGCAGATGGACAATGACCCAAAGCAGACTGCAAAAGCAACCAAAGAGTTTTTTAAGGGAAAGAAGTGGAATGTTATGCAATGGCCAAGTCAATCACCTGACCTGAATCCGATTGAGCATTTCACTTGCTGAAGACAAAACTGAAGGGAAAATGCCCCAAGAACAAGCAGGAACTGAAGACAGTTGCAGTAGAGGCCTGGCAGAGCATCACCAGGGATGAAACCCAGCATCTGGTGATGTCTATGCGTTCCACACTTCAGGCTGTAATTGACTGCAAAGGATTTGCAACCAAGTATTAAAAAGTGAAAGTTTAATTTATGATTATTATTCTGTCCCATTACTTTTGGTGCCTTAACAAGTGGGAGGCACATATGCAAACTGTTGTAATTCCTACAAACCGTTCACCTGATTTGGATGTAAATACCCTCAAATTAAAGCTGACAGTCTGCAGTTAAAGCAGATCTTGTTCGTTTCGTTTCAAATCCATTGTGGTGGTGTATAGAGCCAAAAATGTTAGAATTGTGTCGATGTCCCAATATTTATGGACCTGACTGTATAGTCAACCCTCTGCAGCAATCATGGTTAACAGGGAATTATCAGAGTATTTTGGGATGCAAAATGGAACAAGACAGGGATGCCCTCTGTCTCCACTTCTGTATGTTTTGTCATTGGAATCTCTACTGGCTACAATAAGGAATAATATAGATATAAAAGGGAATATGGATAGGAGACACAGAGCATAAGGTGGCAGCTTATGCAGATGATATGCTGTTTTATGTGGGAAACCCAAGGATAACATTGCCAAACTTAATGAGATCACTGAAAGAGTATGGTGAGATATCAAATTTGAAAATTAATCCAACAAAAACAGAGATTTTAAACATACATCTTCCAAATAGAGAGAAAAATAGGTTACAGGAGGAATTTCCCTCTGTTTGGAGAGAAAAAGAATTAAAATATCTAGGAATAAAATTAACTGTATCCTCCAAGAACATATATAAATAAATTATATCCCATTGTTAAATGAGATCAAGGACGAACTAAGGAAATTAGGAGGGGGAACCCCATCATGAATAGGTTGTATAAATTTGATAAAAATGGTGATTGTTCCAAAAATTTTATATACATTTCAAATGATACTAATTAACCTCCCTGGAGGTATTCCCGAGTGTAGCTCGGGGTAAAGTTTCAGCACCACAAGCGGTAACCCCGAGCTACAATACTTTGCAGCGTTGCTCCAGGATCTCTTCTGCACTTACCTTGTCCTGCGCTCCTGTGATGTCCCCACTGCAGTGTCCCTGGCAATGTCCTCCGGCCAATGCTGGCATCTGTCTTCCGTGTTCCGTTCCCTGCGACGTCAGGACAAACGGGGATGCAACTGGAGGGAAATTTTAAAAATTTTAAAGTGACATTCACTAAAATCACATAGTAAAACATTACTGTATCAAACCATTTCACATACATTTTGTCCCTAGTGCTTTGTCCTGTGCCCTGCCTGCATTTTAACTGTTCTTTCTGCCTTGAAACTGAGAAAAGTCCATGGCATCCAAAAAGCGTTTTAGACCAGCTAGAGTCAAAAGCGGTTTTAGACCAGCTAGAGAACAGCGATAATAAATTAGAACTACTTGCAGAATTGAGTGATGATTCGTGGGGAAATTCGTCATCAGACACTGAAACCGATTTTGCGACTTTGCTCAGTGATGTGCGAACTGGCACTCTATTTCAAATGTCAGTGTCTTTGGTTTGATTATATTATTGAATTAAATTTATTATATTATTATTTTTAATGATTATTTATTAAATTATAATTTGATTTTGTGTTTCAAATTTTAACATACCCGGAATGTTTACTAGACTCTTGTTCAGACAGATTTCAGTGAGTTATTCCTAAAAATTACAGGCCTATATTAAAAAAACTACATATTTCCATGCAAAAAAAGTACCGCTTTGAGCACAGAAATATGGACATAATCAGACCGCTAAGGAGGCTACACTACCAGAAGTATATATCAGAACAATTAAAAAAAATGTTAAGATTTATCTGAAGGAATAAAAAACCGACAATAAGCAATGAAATTTTATGTAGAAATAAAGAGAAAGGTGGACTGGGAGTACCAGACTTGAAAAGATATTATAACTCGGTAATAGTGGGGACAATTTTTGATTGGACATATAATGCAAAAGGGAAAAGCTGGGTTAAAATAGAAAATATACTAAGTAATACCAATTTAAGTAGAATTGTATGGTTACCCCTACAATATCGAGGATTAGCAGATAGGACAAGTTTGTTCACATTAAATGTTTTAAGAGTTTGGGATGTTTTACACAAACAGATGGGATGGGAATTGAATTAATTGTTAATGCCCTTAGGTCCACAGAGTTTGCACCCCGGGTAAAGAAGATATCACAGGGAAGTGGATTAAAAAGGTAGAAGCACAATTAAGGGATATAATGGTGGGGGAGGAAATGGGTTCACTTAAGGAATTGAAAAAAAGGGAGAAGTTTTCACGAGAATGGATGAGTGGCGTTCTTTTCAATTAAAACCCTTAATATGGAAGCTTTCAAAGCCTTTAAGAACAAGAGAGGATTGGAACCCTTTTGAGCGTTTATTAGATACACGGGGAGATGGGAAACATGGAACTTCCAAAATATATAAGATTCTCACTGAAATAAACACAGATATAAGGCCTCCATATATAGAAAAATGGGAAAGGGATATAGGAGTAACTATGGATGCGGAAAAACAGAGGAAAATGTATAGACTAATTCATGGAAATATTAATATGCAGGAGGTAGAAATGAATTATAAATGTTTGGCAAGATGGTATATCACACCGAGTGTGGCACATAGATTAAGTGGAGATAATTCAACCTTTCATGTTGGCGTGGATGTGGAGGTAGAGGCACAATGTATCACATATGGTGGGAGTGTCCTAAAATACAAGAGTATTGGGGGAAAATAGTAAGCTGGATTCAGAAAATTACAGAGGTTAATATCCTAATAGACCCAGAAATTTGCCTTTTTCATAGTACCAAGCTTTCAGTCAAAAAATAGAAAAGATCTGGTTTATTGTATTATTTGAATGCAGCAAAGGGATTGATACCCAAGTTCTGGAGGAGACAGGGAGGTGCCGAAAATAAAAGATTGGGTTGACAGGGTGGATCAAATATGTAAATTGGAGGAACTTTACCATATGAATGAAGATAAAATGGAGAGTCACCATATAAGATGGAGTAGTCCCTCAAAATCTCAGCAGTTGACCATCACTGGTATAAAGTAATGGCTACTCCCCCCCCCCCCCCCCCCCCCCAATAAAAAAAAAAAGAGAGATCCCCATCATAGCCGCAATCTTCTCCCCAGGCCCCATTAATTTTGAAGTAGTTAGAAAGTGGCTGGCAAAATTGGTACATGGTACTTAGTATTAGATAGTTACACACACAAAAACACTCATGGTCTGTTCATTAGTCTTCATTAGTAACGTATTTAACATAGAGGATTATATACACAGTCCTGGTGTTTGCAGAAATTGCTTTAAACTATAAGGAAAAGCTAAAGCAATACCTGAGGAAGAAAGGAAAACTCTTGAAAGCCTGTGTTTTAAGTATCAGGTTGGTACAATAAAAAGCTTTCATTGCATTACTCTCATATTTTGTAATCATATATACGCTGTATACTTATTTAGTTTTTTTCAGTAGCATGATTTAGTGGTGAAAATTATTAGTGCTCCCTTCCCCAGTTTTGGCTCTGGTATCTTATGTGCCCCCCTCCCCCTATATATTGTTCCTAGAGTTGCCACTGGTGTTCACTGAACAGGTCCCCCAGCTGGTGTTACATAGTCTGGCTGAAAACAGACAAAAGTCCATCCAGTTCAACCATTAAAAAAAAAAAGATATCCTATACCCACAGTTAATCCAGAGGAAGGCAAAAAAAACCCAGAAAGCATGATCCAATTTGCTCCTGCTGGAAAAAAAAATTCCTTCCTGTTCCCCGAGAGGCAGTCGGATATTCCCTGGATCAACTTAACCTATAAATGTTTGTATCCAGTTATATTCTGTGCATCTAAGAAAGAATCCAGGCCTCTTTTGAAGCAATCCACTGAGCTGGCCATAACCAACTCTTGAGGGAGTCTATTCCACATTTTCACAGCTCTCACTGTGAAGAAACCTTTCTGTGTTTGGAGATTAAATTTATTTTCCTCCAGACGTAAAGAGCGCCCCCTTGTCCTCTGTGATGATCTCAGGGTTAATAGCTCTACACCAGCTGAGGAGACAGATTGTTCAGATCACGCCGTTGAATGGGTGGAGCCTAACCCTGGCGGCTGACGAGAGCCCGATGTAGGAGCTCTCGGGCAAGCTCCTTCACCCACCTCCCCAAACCCCTACCTGTGATGTGGAGCTGCGGTGCGGTGAGTCCCCCTTGGATGGATGGAGGAACCCTGCGGGAGAGCTGAGTTGTGAGAAGGGATCCGGCTCCGGTGCTCGGGGTGAAGGGTGTGTCGGGCAGCGGGGAGACAAGGTGGAGCGGTGCAGACACGTGACCGGCCGCTAAGCACCACTGGGAAACCAGGAAGCCGGCCGGTGTTTGGTGCAGAGAGAGAGGAGCTGATCGGCTTGTGGATCTACCCCTTGGTGCACGGCTGCAGACCCAATACCTGGTCCCCTGTTATAGCGCCGATAGTCTGGTGCCCTGCTAATAGGCTCACTGCTCGGAGCTCTGCATCCTAGCCCAGTGCTCAGAATCTGTCAGCCGGTTTCTACCTGGAGCTCTGTCTGCCGGCTTGTTGGCTGGGATCTTGACCGTTGCTGGACTGCTGGGGGCTGTGCTGGTCGGTCCGTTGTTTGGGGCCCTGCTGGTTGGGGCCCATTGCTCTGAGTCCTGCTTCTGAAGGAGGAAGACACGGGGGATTGGAGAGAGAAAGGAGGAGGATTCTTTTTGGAGGAACCCCTAAAATGATCACACTGCCCAGCTGAAGGACAGAGAGGAATGCTGGTTGGGCCCCGAGAAGAAGAGAGACACGAGAGCAGGGTGAGTGGACTCTGACCGAGTCTCAACAAAATTATGTGCTTCCTGTGGGCTGTTGGGGGGGAGAGGCAGTGTGTGAGAGAAGAGAGGGGAGCCCTTGAGTGGGAAATATAAAATAGTGAAAAGGAGAAGAGGAAAAAAACGAATAAAAAGCTGGGAAAATCAAAATGAATGGATAAGTAGTGACGTATATATTAATAGTTATCTCTCCTTAACCCCCGAGCCAATAAAGAAGAATAAGAGCAATAGAAGAATAAAAAAATAAAAGTACAAAAGGAAGTGGGCTAAAAGGGACTCAGACTGGCACTATTAAAAAAATACACTTCCCAGGGAAATATAAAACCCCAGAAAGGACTCAGGGCAAAAGTGGAAAAGGTGAAGTAGATCTAAGCCTGGAAAGTAGCCCTAGACTATCACTAGGCCTTGACATTAGCAGCCAACAAATATCTGCTAATACAGAGATGGAGACAGAGCTACAAATACCAAAACAAAAAAGAAATGGCAGAAATGTTCAAAGATCTGGTCGGAAGAAAACAATAAAACAAGAAATTGTAAATATTCGAAATGATTTGGGTCACCTTTTTGGTGAGAGTGGAAAGAAACGGACGGGGGGAAAAAACTCAAAAACCAGTCCCAAACTATTGCCGAAATTGGAAAAAGAAATAATTAATATGAGGAAAGGCACAAGAAAAATTGTTTTTATAAGGCTGAGATACAAGAAAATAGGAATAGGAGGAAAAAGAAATATTAGGATACGTGGAGTCCCAGAGAATTAGAATAAAAAAAGGAGAAAAATTTGCAAGAGATGGTCTGTAAAATATTAAAATTCCATAATGGACAGTACTAATATGGAAAAAACTAAAATAGAAGGAATCTCTAGACAAGGAAAAATCCAAGGAAATTCGGGGGAAAAGATAGGCCACGCAAGATATACTTGTCAAATTTTGTGAATTCCTAGATAAAGATAAAATTTGGAAGAGGATAAAGGGAAAAGCAGTAATTATGTATGAAGGAAAAGGACTTACAGATATATGCGGACTTGTCACCAGAGACTTTATGGGTAGAAGGAGAACCCTTAGACCTCTATTGGAAAGATTGAAAAGAACAAAAGGTGCAATATAGATGGGGGACCCTCTGAGTTGCCTAAATAGGATGGAGAAATGGAAATACAGCATAATCTTAGGTTCCCAGAAGATTTGAAAAATTTTTGGGGACAGACTCAATCTACAAAAAGAATGGAGATTCCTGGCTGGGAAGAAGAACACTGGGAAATTAGAACGAAAAGAAAAGAGGACTGAGGGGCAAGGGCTGTGGTTGGTGGGGGGGGGCGGAGGGGGGAGGGGGGGGGGGAGAGATAGAGTTTTTTTTTTTTTTTTTTTTTTTTTTTTTTTTTTTATTTTTTTCTCTCTCTCTCTCCGCCTTGTCCCTTCCGCCCCTCAAA